AGCCCCTTGTGCTGGAGTCACTTCTGGCTGAAGAAACGTGAAAATCAGGGAGGCACGATATCTGGCTGTCCACCCCTTGGGACTTTAGAGGACCCCATCCTGCCTGGACTGTGGGTTCCCAGAAAGGAACTCTCTTCTTCCCCAGTCTGGCCCTTGGCTCAAGGCTGATCTGTCCCTCTCCCCAGTCTCAGAGAACTGGCCATGGGAGGACTCGCCAGATATCCACAGCATGCCTGGGTATCCCCCTGGCGCGGGCATGAGCACCCCACACGCCTGTCTATTTAAGCCTTCTGCTCGGCTGCACGAAACAGCACCGAGAATGTCAGTGACAGAGCATGAGGCAGAAACTTATTAGCGGTGATATTTCCCCGGATCCTGGCTCTGCATTCGCTATTAGTTCTAATTCAGCAGCTCCCTCTACAAAAGCTTATTGTCCCCTAATGGGAAATCTACAAACCTAGTTTGACTTCTTTATTAAAAACCAACAAGCAGTGGATGAAAAGGAATCACCTAGCCCCTCTCACCTGCCCCTCCTCCTTCAGGAGCTCTGTAGCTTTGATCTGCCGCCCCCCCTGCCTTGCTTCCCATGTGCAGTAAGTGCTGCCATCAAAGACTTCACCTCTGCTGGGCTTTTTTTTTTTTTTAGTTCAGAGAAAATCCCTTTGGTAGCGGAAGGAGGCAGCTTAGACAAGTGACAGCTACTTAAAAATCACCCACGTGCAAAATCAACCCAAAGGCGGTGACCTTTACAAGTGTGGTCGGTCCTCAGACACAAGTGACAACACCACCCAAAGGCCCTGCTTGAGAGATGATGTTCGCTCACAGCCAAGGTGGCATTTGTTCCTGTTGCCAGACCCTCCTGCTGCCAGGATGCCAGGGCAGGGCAGACCCAGAAGGAGAGTGGGGACCCCTCCTGATTGGCATGACAGCTTTGAGGGAATGCAGTCAATCATACTGTAATAACGATGTATGATGTCAGATGGGTACTAGACGTATCAGGATGATCACTTTATAAGTTGNGCTAGCTGCGCCCTCCACAACTAAGATTGAAGAACAACAACTTGGCTGTTCCTTCCCCAATTCCCCAACACTGTTCCCCTTCCCCAATCCCCCAATTAAAAAAAAAAAACTTTAAAAAAATATCATTATGCTGCATGCCTGAAACTAATATTTATGTCAATTATATCTCAATACAAAAAAAAAATTCTGCCATTATGGATGGTTTTACACCAAAATGTTTTAAACGGCAGCAAAGCAGCCAGCAAGGAGAGGCGTAGTTGGTCCTCTCTCAGGGGATACCCCTCATCTTCTGTTCAAAGGACTGAGTCTGACAAATGTCTCCTGGGGAGGAGCAAGGTCCAGCGAGACCATCTCTCCGCCTGCCTCCTCTCCACATCCCTAAGGAGCCTCCTCTGAGTTATCAGTTGACATTTGTGTGCCCTGAGTAGGTCCATAGCTGCCAGCCACCAGGCCTGGAAGGTCCTGGCTCCGAGACCGGGAAAGTTCCCAGGTCAGTAGATGGGGAAAGATGAGGAAACCCAAGATGGCCAGGACAAGGCCATGTAAACACAGGTCCCCTGTGCATTTGTCCCGCTGCTGGTTCTTTCCTCCCAGTTTGAGGCCCCGTCACAGAGCGGCAGAGAACGGCTGGATGCGCCTAATAATCTCCATCTCATCCTGGTCATTTACAGAGATCGTCAGGGCCCGTAATCCAAGCTGACAGCCACTGCCGTGCTCATCCTGTTAGACTTCCAGATGCATCAGGCACTTCATTTTTAGGAGCCGTCCTGCCCTCTGCATTCAACTTGGCTTTCGATTATGCTAAAAATGAGAGGGCTTCCCCTGGGCTCAGCTTAACTAAAGACAAGGGAAAGAGATATCTCAGAAGCATGGTGGGTGACAAAGCAAGGCTGGCATAGGTCAGGCGGAGAGACCAGCCACCTACCTAACGGCTGCAGCACACTGAAAGCCCCCTCCTGCTGGAGGCCGTGGATGGTGCTGATGAAGACCACAGGCAGCGTCCTGGCCCTGCCTGCTGTGTGCTCATCAGCTGTGTGACCGGGCACATGACTTAGCCTCTCTGGGCTGTAGCTTCTTCATTTGTAAAGTGGGGATGATAACAGTACGTGGTACTGAGTTCCTCCAGCATGTAGCTGTGAAGATTAGACTAGATAATGCGTATAAAGTATAAAGCATGTGGCAAAGAGGCTGACGCATGATAAGGGTTTCATAAATGCTGGCTGCTGCTGCTGGTGTGCTATCATTAGCATTTCAAAGCTTCTTCATTCCGAAAGCTAAAGGCTATCTTTGGAGGGTCACAGAAACTATGCCCTAGAAAGTTTTGGGGACTTGAGTGAGACTGTACCACAATCAGGGCCACACCAGCAGCACGCCCCTGGGTTCCGACTCCCAGCCCAGTGCTCTAGCCATGGGAGCACAGAGGCCTCCCTGGGTACTGAGAAGTTTCCCAGACCACGTGAATGGCAGAGGGCGGCTGTGGGGGGGCTGGGACAGGGTCTCACCGGTCAGCGTTATCACTGAAGTAGTAGTTGACTTCCCCGAAGGTGCCCGCATCGTTGTCCGTTGCCTGCAAAGGTGAGAACAAGGAGTCATTACTGCCAGACCCAGCTGAGGCTCCTGATCTCACCAGGAGATGTCTACAGCAAACCTGTGGTTCTCCGACACAACACCCTGGCCCAGGCTGAGTTTCCTAGAGCCGTGCTGTTCAGTATGGCTGCCACCAGTCACAAATGGCCATTTAACTTGACGTTGGAGAGTACAGTCCTAGAAGCTTGGTCTTTTGCCTAAATCTCTAACCTTGTTGACACCCACCCTTCCTGGACTCATGTCAGGCTGGGCAGGCTTCTTCTCTGCAGATCTCGGGGACTTGGGGCAGGAACCCTGGACCTGTGGCTCGGGGTCACAACCTACAGGTTTGTGAAGTGTCACAAATGAAGGTGGGGGGTGGGGTTCAGCCATCTGGTGCTTCTCCTCCCCATCTCCAAAGCCTCCAAGTCAGATGTACTATCCAGTGGGGGAGGCTCCTTGGGGGGACTTATGGTGGTCCCCCCTTTTGAACCCTGAGACTTATCCATTGCATGCACAGGGCAGACTGTCATCTGGCTGGCAACCTCTTCTGCTGCAAACAGCCCGTTGCCCACCCCTCCCATCTTCTCTGGCACCTCCCTCTGCTCAAACAAGTGGTCTGAGTGGGAGCTGCCTGCTCTGCCCGTGACCACAGGGACTGGGTGGGGGAGTGGCCCTTGACCGCAGTGGGGCTATCAGAATCCTCTGGGATTCTTCTCACTGTTACTGGGGGTAAAAGCTTTCTTCTGAAGCAGTGAAGCTGGGACAGCATGAAACGGGAGCTGCTGGATGTGGGGGGAGGATGAAGGTGCCCTCAGGGGAGAGCTGGGAGAAGACAGGGGCCGAGTTCTGAATTGTAGAGTCCTGAAGCTGACATCTCTTCCTGTCTCAGTTTGGTGTGTGAATCCAGTAAGACCTCTTTTACCCAGGCTGATCTGCCACTTGCACTCAAAAAAGACTGGAGAGGTGTGCCCGATGCTGATGACAATGGCAATGATGATAACCAGGGCCAGCCTGTGCTATCAGACCTTTTACATTTTCAAAGATCATCTGTGTTTCTCATGACCTCATTTTATCCTCACAACTGTCACAACATGATGAGGATGACAGACATTTACACCCATCTCACAGATCAGAAAACTGAGGCCCAGACCCCAGTGAGGCCCAGTGTAACCCTGTCAGCACTCTAGGTCATGAGCAGGTTATAAGCAGAGTGGGGCAGAAGCTGGGCTCCTCACTTCCAGCCTGGGGCTCTTTCCTTCAAGCCACCTGAGTGGGGCCCTTCTCCATCTCCTCCCTTCTCCAGGATGATGGCAGTTCTAGAGATGATTTGGCTTTTGTGGCTGGGACCTCTGGGCTTCTGCTTTGTCTCTTTCATGGGACAATGTGCAGGCTAAATGACAGCATTCATTCATTCATTCATTCATTCATTCATTCATCCATCATTCAATAGTTACTTATTAAGCATACATTCTGTGCCAGGCACTGTGACTTCTGTCCCCTTCCCAGGCCACTGCCTTGGAGCTGGGCAAACTGCTGCCCGCTGCCAGACAGCAGGAGGAAAAGTCCTTGGACTGACCTCGGGGTCCACTTACATCTGTTTTACACTCAGGGCTTCTCTGTATGATCATAATTGGATAAAGTTCTGCTGCTATAAATATGTTCTAATACCTTATTTTTATTGTTTTAGCTGTATTGAGTATAATTGACAGATAAAATTCCAATATATATAAGGTGAACATGATGATTTGATGTATGCATACTCGCAAAAGGATTGCTTTTATAGGACTGCCTCTTGTGCCCACTTTCCACTCAGTGTCCCTACTGTTTGTGTTCCAGTAGACTGTGTGCAGACCTCTGTCCCTCCCGCCACCCTGGCCAAGCTCTGGGGACATCATCACAGGTTCTCAGGGATGCACGCTGAGTAAGTGAGAAAGGAAGATGCTGAGCTAGTAACCCACCATCCAATGTGGGACTGATTCCTTGATAGACACTTCCCTGTCCTCGGCCACTTCTCATGACACTGCCATTTACTGAACACCTTACACTTATCATGTATTTTATTTTTGGAACAACCCTATGAGGTAGGTGCTATTATTACATCCCAGGAAAGTGAGGCACACAGAGGGTAAATGGCTCACCTGGCTTCACAGCTAAAAAGAGGTCAGAGACAGGATTTGAACCCAGTGCCATCGTGCCATGCCCTTAGCCTCCATGCAATATTACTTCTAAACCAAGAAGAGAACTTGTTCTCAGAAGGAAAGGCACCTGGTTATTCCAGGGGAGAGAAGAGCAAAACTCCTCATAATAAGCCCACCTCTCTCCTCCCCTCCCGGAGGAGAAGGGGAGGAGAGGAGCCCGAAGTTCCCTTTCGATCTCCTGATAAATAATGTTCACCCTATGTGGTGTTATTAGAATATAATAACTATAGCATGGTCTAAGGGGCAGCTGACCAGACACCATCGGGCCCATGGCGAGGGGTGGGTGTGCTGTAGAGGGCCCAGTTCCAGGCCAGTGTCAACAGCCCAGGTCACTGCAACCCCCTGGGGCCTCAGCATCCTCATTTATGAAAGGAAAGGGTTTGGGGAAGCTATGAGGTCAGGGCCGAATCTGCCAGGCCCACCTCCCAGCATTGACAACGCCTTGCACATAGCCGTGCTTCACAAATGTTTAGAAAATGAATGAACAAATTCTACTAGGAAGAGGGTGGTAGGAAGAAAAAAGGAAGTTGGTGGAGAGATGGGGGCAAAGACAAGGAGGACAGAGGATTCAAAGGGAAAGAGAGGAAATGGAGCAGAAGAGGTGAAGCAAAGGGGACCAGGAAAAGAAGGGGGAGAGTGGCCAGGAAGTGTGTCTGTTGGGGGGATCAGGGGAGAGGTAGAGAGGAATGGGCCCAAGCAGGAACTGAGGGGCTGGGGTACACCATAAGGGGGTTCCCTGCTCCTAAAGGCCATATTTGGACCCTGGGGACAAGCTCATCATATCTGGGTGCCCTATAGAATTGCACTTGGACTGTCAGGGCGGGAAGGACTCCCGAGGTCCCCTTGTCCAGTTCCCTTCACTCTGGGGCCTGAGGCAGCTGAGGCCCAGGAAAATTAGGTGATGAGCCCCTGGGGACAAGGTGGAACTGTCTTCTCTCTTCAGGCAGACAGGGCTGCCAATCCTCCCCCCACTCCCCAGTCCTCACCCTCTCCCCGGGTGGGCTGGGCACAGCTATGTCCCCCACGCTGACCCTGTTCCCTGGGGGCCCCTCACTGCCTGCCCAGGCTGCTGATGCTGACCAGGGAAGATTTGTGAGTCCTTTAGTACTACCATCTTATGACCGTATGAAATATGTATGCCCGGTGAAGAGGAGAGAGAGAACTTTCATTTTTCAAATGCATGAAGCAGAATAATAAGAAGATGAAAAGCTACGTCTGTGCCCCTGCCAGGGTGGGGGCAGCATAGAGGGCCTGGAGGGGCCAGTGCCATGCTGCAGTGGGGCTGGATGAGGAGTCCTGTGCCTGGGAAGGGGCAGCAAACCCAGCTGCTTGGCTGTGCTGCCGAAGGCCCTGCAGGGCTCCCTGGCGCCCCCAGGGGACAGTCCCTCCTCTCCTGCGTGCATTCCCAGCCCCCCCCGTACTCCAGCCTTTGTTGCAGGCTCTGACAGCCTCATCCCTGACCCCAGCTAGACCGCATGCAGCTTCCACTGGAAGGCTCTGGTCCCTGCCTGGGTCTGTCTAGATTGCTTCCTCCTTCTCCTGCCTGGCTCATCCACTCCTGTCCTCTCTGAATCCCCAACATTGGTTTCGGGGTCTGCAGTGCATTCCCAGCCCCGATTCCACTTCAGAGCTGTAGCGGCCAGCTCATGTGTTTCTCACCCCATTAGGTTGTGGCTCCCTGAGGGCGGGGTGGGGTTATGGGGCCTGGGTGTAAAGGCAGTTCAGGAAAACTCCTGGTATCTCTGTCATCTATAGCTCCATTAGTAATCACACCTGCACAACAGTATTAACGCATGCATTGTTCAATTCTGACCATGCCCCTACGAGGAGAGTACTCTTATAAGCCCTGCTCTCTGGTTTAGCAAACGAGAAAACAGAGGCACGGTGATGTTACGCAACTTGCTCAAAAGCTCATCGCTGGTAAGTGGCAGAGCCGGCCTCCAAATCCCTGTATTTAAAACCATTCAATGCCCTGTCAGGGGCAGGATGGTCCCCAGCACAGTTTTGTGACACCGAGGCCCCAGCAGCTCCTCAATACCCTCTGGCCCCGTAGAGGACACTGTCTGGGGCTGGTGACAGCCTCTACCCCAGCCCCAGCCCGTGTGTTATGGCACTTTTTAAAACAACCTTACTCCCCAGACTCGCTACGTGCCTGAGTAACTGGAAGATCAGGAGACGAATCAAGCGGCACCTCTAAGAGATGCCCAACCAGGGTTCAGGTGAGCACTGTGACTGTGCTGCAGGCCCTTCCTCTGGCTCCTGTGTCTCTGCTACTGCCCCACCAGGGCTGGACTCTTACCCACAGGCACATCACACTAGCATGTTTTACTGCTTGCCAAGATTCTCATAAGGGACCCAGGGCAAGAAGTCAAAACCAACGGCCAAAACGTTCTTCTCTGCTCTCAAACCTTCTGTGTTCCCCACCGCTGCTGATTTACTTCCAACCCAGCACCTGGTACCCAGGCTCTGCACAGCCTGACTAGCTATGGGCCATCTTGTATTCACCTCTCCCTGACGTACCCAGGCTGTTCTCTCATTGCCCGGAGGCACCGTCCCTTCATCTTGTAACTGCTGTCCAAACTCCAGCCCACCCCTCAGGGCCCACCCCAAATGTCTCCTTCTTAGGGAGCTCCCTGATCACTCAGTTCTTGACCCCAGAGTGCCTAGCTGTATCTTTTCTGAACACGCAGCACAATCTGCCTGTGTCTGCCCGTTTCCCTCGTCCTTGCCAGAGAAGCCTGAATCTAACTCATTTTTGTATCCTCTGTTGTCCCTGGCACAGGGCTCAAAAATCGTTGCC